TTATGAACCTCATGATTAAGTATTTCTTTCAATTACTTTATTTATTCAATCATGATAAGTAGTAAACTCTGTTAAATTAGAAAAAAAGAGAAAGAAATTTATACATCACATGTGATAATCATAACAATCCATATTAAATAATAATAATGATGATAATGGTCAGAAATTATTGTAATTAAAAGTAATAAATAATAAATCAATTACATAAGACAAAATATAGGAAGATTTTTCCAAATCTATTTAAATCATAATGCGAATAATAATAATAATAATAACAGAACCATTGATAACCATTCAATACAAGTTTTGGAACATCTTTATTGTTCTTGAATGAGATTTATTTGATTGATTTAAAATAGTCGTTGTTAGCTAAATTACTATTACTAGGTTGGAAGAAAACTAAAGTTTCATTTATTTTAAGGGTATCGTTAGATTAAACTCTTATTTGACACCACACTATACACTATACTAACAATATTCTAACAACCAGAGCAACAATTATTATACATTCATGAAAAATCCGGACAATGTGAAAGACTGGGTGGACCAGTGAAATAGCAACGGAAATGTAGAGATGCAATATGGCAGTACTGGGAATCAGTGAAACCCATTGGATCCAAGCTGGATAGGAAAGGTTAGATACGGGTTAGGTGCTGCTGTACTCCGGTCACGAGGAGCAAAATGGTTCACACACTCAGGGAGTAATTCTGATTCTGTCCAAAGAAGCATATAATGCACTTATTGGATGGGAGTATCACGGAATCAGGATCATCAAACGATCCTTCAAAACAAAGAAGAAAAGAATCACGACGAATGTTATCTAACGTTATGAACCCACCAATAATAACAAAGACGACATTGAAGATCAGTGATATGACAGGCTACAGTCGATCATAGAGAAGTGCACAAGCAATGACCTGACCATCTCCACGGGATTCCTAAACGCGAAAGTCATAATGGACAACACCGTGTATGAAGAAATCATAGGAAAACATGGACTGACTGGGAGTAAACAACGAGAATGGTGATAGATTTGTAAATTTATGTTCATTCAACAAGGTGGTTATAGACGGTACAATATTCACCAACAAACAAATACACAAAACTACATGAGTCTCACCGGATCACACTACACACAACCAGATCGATCATATCTGCATCAGTGAAATATTCAGAAGTTCGGTGGAAGGCGTGAGAACCAAGAGAGCAGCTAATGTAGCTTAAAACCGCCACCTGGTATTCACCAATATGAAACTGAGGCTAAAGAAGCACTGGAAAATTGTGGAAACAGCATTGCAAAGGTTAAGTACAGTCTTCTTACGAGATACTAATAAACTGAACGAATTAAAGATAATTCTCAACAACAGGTTCGAAGCCTGACAGAATCTACTGAAAGGAGAAACTATGATTGGGGACAACTGGAAAGGGATCAATGAAGTGTTGTGTCGGTTACTATGTTAAACCCATATTACTTATTCTAGCTTCTAGACAGGCCAATCTATTCATCATTCTTCCTGAGTCACGTTTTGACCTTGTTAATTGTTCACTTGTAAACCCTGACTGCATTTATATGAGAGTGTGCGTGTGTACATCTTATCCTACTCATCACATGTCTGTAGTTTATTTTGTATGACGATAAATATTGATTAACGCTTGATTGAATCGAGCTGGTTCATATGCCTTCTCCACTGAGCGTCGTTTCGCTTCACTTTCTTCTCTTCTTTTCCCACGTTTCTTCCCTCTGATTGCCTGCCTAGATCATTGAGTGTACTAAATACATGTATTCAAACATCCATTGTCATATTTGAATTGTTTAATTTCGTTATTCACTAACGTGAGTTAAGTCGATGATTCTATGCGAGAACAGTCTTCGTATATAATTCAATCACGGTCATTCGTCCGATCTAACTGGAGTCAGATAAAATGCATTAACTTCCAGGTGTCAGAAGGTGCTGGGCTGTAAGAAGTATTATCATAAGGAATGGATCTCTATGAAAAGGCTAGACAAGATTCAAGAATGGAAGAACAAAAAGACAGCAATTAACAACAGCCGAACAAGAAAAAAGAAAGTCAAGGGACAGGCTGAATACACCAAAAACAGGCAAGTAAAGAGGAACATTAGAGCGGACAAGCAGAAATATGTCGAACACCTAGCAACGACAGCGGAAAAAGCTTCAAAAGAAGGAAATATGAAACAGCTATGTCAGACAACGAACAAACTAGCATGGAAATATAATAGACCAGAGAGACCGGTCAGGGACAAAGAAGACAAGACAATCACTGACATTCAAGAACAGAGGAACAGATGAGTGGAATACTTCGGTAAATCTTGAATAGACCAGTTCCATTGAATCCACCGGACATCGGAGCAGCACCCTCAGACTTTCCCACAGATGTCATTCCGGAGTCAGACAAGGCTGCTCACTGTCTCTCGCCCCTTCTACTTCTTATGGTCGTTGACTGGATTATGAAGACCTGGACATCTAAGGAAAGCATGGAATACAATGGACATATCGGAATCAATTATAATTCTTGAACTTCGCAGATGAATTACCTCTGCTATACCATACACATGAACAAATGCAGATGAAGGCAACTAGTGTTGCAGCAGCCTCTGTGGCAGTAGGCCTCAATATACACAAATATAACACAGAGAACACCAACCCAATCACACTTGATGATGAGACTGTGGAAGAAGTGTAGACTTTCACGTACCTGAACAGCAGCATCATCGTTGTACAAAGAGAATTTGATGCAGACGTAAATGCAGGAATTGGCAAAGTAAGGATAGCATTCCTACAACTGAAGAACATATGGATCTCTAAACAACTGTCGAACAATATCAACTACAGAATGTTCAATACGAACATCAAGACAGTTCTCCTGTACGGAGCTGAAACTTGGAGAACTACTACAGCTATCATCAAAAATATAAACAATTGTCTAAGTAAGATATTGAACGCTCGATGTCTGGATACTATCAGCAACATCCTACTGTGTGAGAGAATAAACCAGGTTCCAGCTGAGGAAATTAGAAAAAGACGTTTGAGGTGGATAGGACTTACATTACGGAAATCACCAAACTGTATCATGAGATGAGCGTTGACTTGGATTCTGAAGGGAAACGGAAGCCCAGAGAACACAGTGTCGAGAATAGGGAGCAGACATCCGAAACAAAAATAGCAACTGGAAAAGATTGCCCAGGACAAGGTTGGATAGAGTGGAAATCGATCAATAATTTTCTAGGAAGGAAAGTCAATGATTATCATAAGAACAATTGAAAGGTTTTAATTTCTGTTCAATAAACGAGTGAATGAAATTAAGCAGTAAATACTGAATGATATAACCGATAGGTTAATTATGTATTCAAAATGACGAGGGGATTTAGGTGTTGAGGAATAATGTCAGATATGTAATTCAAAGTCGTTATGATTAAACCAAGAATTTAAAAAAATTGCACTTGACATCTTTTCACTGGTAAATGAGAACGAATTGATGATAGTAATGTGGTACTACGGTCATTGGAAAAGAATGTTGCACGATGAAGAATATTACCTACCGAAATTGATGAATTTTAGGCTTGAATAATGAGGTCTAAATGTTATAATTCTGTAATTGTTTTGTATCAGCTTATATATATAACAGTTATCTTCTTTTTAGTTTTATACACTGAATATTTGAACGTCTTTTATTTGGGTTATTTGATAATCCGATAAACTATATCTTCTCAAATGTTAGGAAATTTTCAATTTTTATATTATTCTTTCGTTACTTGCAAAACTTTAGCTAAGAAATAAATTGTAACTTAGTGATTAAAGTTTTGTTCAGATAAGTTTAGATTTGGGAAACTCATGTTGTATGCTAAGCTGTTATACAGCAGAATCAATAGTCATTCAAGTCCATAGTTATGTACTTATTCATACCTAAGAAAAAACTAGTCTTTGAATCGTCATAAAACTATTGGATTTACACTAGTTTCCTAAACTATATTAAAAGACCTTAAAGGTAACTATAAGAAAAGATTTTCAGGAATTGACTATACGTCCTCCTTAAACAGAAATAATTTTGAAACAATTAAGATTGAACATTTACTCTTAAAATCTATATAAATAAAATTGTGGTTTTATTATACATACACATATCAAGCGAGACAAAAATTAAGTAATAAGATGTAAGATATAAACTTGAAATTGATGGATAATTAGTGATAATGCTTTTCACAATTAAAAATAAATTGAATACCAGTAAAGAGTGTTTGTTTTTTCTGTGAGGCAGTAAACGTCACAAATGAGTTGATGATAATAATAATAATAATGATAACAACAGTAATAAAAGTTATGTATGTAAATACATATTTCTGTACAATATTTATTATATTCAAAAAAGGGTTCTGTTTTTCTTCATGAATTGAAACCGTGTCACATTGATCAAAAGGTTTATATGAATGATAGGTTATGCAATGAGATTAAGAAATAAAGCAATATTAAATTCATAAACAAGATAACATATACATGAATAGATCTGTGATATATTGTTGAGATCAGTTGGACATGAGCTGTTGTAGTTAATCATAAATATATGCGTGTTTAAATATATATGTACATATATGACGGTCAGAACAATATATATATATATATATATATATATATATATATATATATATATATATATATATATATATATATATATATATATATATATATATATATACGGATTTATGGTTGTAGTAAGTAAATAAAATAAATTCCTTCTCTTTTCAGGTTACACTGAAAATCTTTGGTATACAAATACATAAATGTTTGAATTTAATACATAAGGGGAGTTTGAAAAAACTACATGAATTTTGAAAGACTGAAGAATACAAATATAAATATATATGATACAATGTAGAGAACAAAGGAGAAAAGTAACAAAAAAGGTTGTTTTTTTTTAAAAGAGAACAAATTGCACCGTTTGACGACAAACTCTGTAGTTTAAAAAGAAAGGAAAAAGCCAAGCTAAATAGGAATAAAAGTGAGTCTTTATTTGGAAACAAATTCAGGTTATTGTGAATGGTTTTCTTTGATATCACCGAAAAATAAAATAATTTATACAAATATTGTGCATAATGTATAATGCATAAGTACTATTGAGCATCGCTAATCTTCTGTTTGCCATGTAACACGACGCGTAGTACTAACAGATTTCTCGGCTTCATGACTTCTAGGATTGTTTGAAGATGTAACTAGTAAAGGAACCGAATTTCCTGAGGTTGAAGCAGGCTTTTGATCGGATATTGATGAAGATGCTCTTGAAAAGAAAGTGACATCGGATTGATTGCTGATGGATAAATGAGGAACACTAGTTGGTGTGGACTGATTAAGGCTACTTGAACGATCAGATGTTTTTGAAATTTCATGGATAAAAGATGATAATTGACAGGAAGGTGCTGATGCTGTTTCATGCAAAGCTGAATCTAATGTGGTATTGTTTTTATGGTGACGTGAGTGTCTATGAGACTTAAATCGATCACTTACATCTTTAAATGTACAGCTAGGAAGAAGACAAACCTCTTCACTATTTGATTCTGTATTCCAAGGTAAATAGCATGGATGCCTGATTTCAATACTTTTACGACACACAGGACATTGATCTACACGATCGGCGCATATGCTGCAGCATATTGTATGACCACATGGAAAGAAAACACGTGATATTGGTTGGTCCATACAAACACGACAGAGTGCTACTTCACGCAAAGTTTCCTGCACTATCTCTTGAACTTCCTAAAACAAACGTAATGCACAATAGAGCATATAAACATATGAAGTATTTATTACTGAATTTCACATAAAATTACTATAATAAGCGATGTATTTTCGGAAACCTAACAAAATGCTAAATTAATTGTTACTAAATTAACAATAAAAACAAAGACTTCTTTTTATCACTATATCAAGTTCACTGATGTTGAAAGTAAGGAGTTGAAGGAACAAAAATTGAATATTTGTTATAAAGTATAGAAAATCGAAATCCAATAAAGTAAGAAGACGTTATATTTTGTTGCGGTTAATTATTAATAACATCATACTGATCTGAAACTATTGTCAGGAATGCGAGAAAAAATAGATAGCCAGTTAAGAAAATATTTACTTACTTTTTAGTGGCCTCTTATCTGATTCCCGTTAGATCGTACAAATGATTGTTATTGATAATATACACATCTTCAATCCTCTTACATAGTTATCAACTTGAATCGCGTTGGTGAATAACGGAATTAAATACGAGAATGGATGTTTGAATATGTATGTTTTGTACACTCGTGTGCTGCTCCGATGTCCGGTGGATTCAATAGAACTGGTCTATTCAAGATTTCCCGAAGTATTCCACTCATCTGTTCCTCTGTTCTTGAATGTCAGTGATTGTCTTGTCTTCTTTGTCCCTGACCGGTCTCTCTGGTTTATTATATTTCCATGCTAGTTTGTTCGTTGTCTGACATAGCTGTTTCATATTTCCTTCTTTTGAAGCTTTTTCCGCTGTCGTTGCTAGGTGTTCGACATATTTCTGCTTGACCGCTCTAATGTTCCTCTTTACTTGCCTGTTTTTGGTGTATTCAGCCTGTCCCTTGACTTTCTTTTTTCTTGTTCGGCTGTTGTTAATTGCTGTCTTTTTGTTCTTTCATTCTTGAATCTTGTCTAGCCTTTTCATAGAGATCCATTCCTTATGATAATACTTCTTACGGCCCAGCACCTTCTGACACCTGGAAGTTAATGCATTTTATCTGACTCCAGTTAGATCGGACGAATGACCGTGATTGAATTATATACGAAGACTATTCTCGCATAGAATCATCGACTTAACTCACGTTAGTGAATAACGAAATTAAACAATTCAAATATGACAATGGATGTTTGAATACATGTATTTAGTACACTCAATGATCTAGGCAGGCAATCAGAGGGAAGAAACGTGGGAAAAGAAGAGAAGAAAGTGAAGCGAAACGACGCTCAGTGGAGAAGGCATATGAACCAGCTCGATTCAATCAAGCGTTAATCAATATTTATCGTCATACAAAATAAACTACAGACATGTGATGAGTAGGATAAGATGTACACACGCACACTCTCATATAAATGCAGTCAGGGTTTACAAGTGAACAATTAACAAGGTCAAAACGTGACTCAGGAAGAATGATGAATAGATTGGCCGTCCAGAAGCTAGAATAAGTAATATGGGTTTAACATAGTAACCGACACTACAACTTTGATATACTGGAGACTTTGAATAAAAACGCTTCCCATATAGGTAAGTTATTTAATATAACTGATAGTATATCAGATAATATTTTGATGAATTTATCTTTCCCCTATTAACTTGACAATGAATGAAATTGTGGTTACATATTAGTTAATTGATGTAGACGTTGGTCGATTGCCAAAAGATTAGAATTTTATGTTGGATAGGTGTTACCACATAATTTTGTTGATTACTTTCGAAAAACAATTTTCCTTTCACTGTCGATATCAATCTAAACAAAAGTATGCAAAATTAGAAAATCTCAGATCAAAATACAACACAAATCATGGTGAATAAACTAAATTATGGATACTTGCTAACAAAACCATACCTAATATGGAAGAAACATTTCACAAACAGTAGGAGAACCAGTTTTAAGTGCTATATTTATTCAAAGTTACCGATAGGCCGACGAAAAAAAGGCGACTTCTGAAGAAAACAGTACATTTTCATTAAAAGAGCATATCCGTATAAAACTCAGATGTATGGAAGTAATCAACAGGAGGTTTCGTAATCATGTTTTGCACAAGTTGGTACTCTTCAGATAAACTTGTTTATAGTCTTAATAAAACTGTTGTTTTTTCAAAGTTTCGAGCCCAACTCAACCAATGTCGACGACAAAGATGTTACCACTAAGCGATTCCAAACAGGACTGATAACTTCTAATATAAAAGGTAGTTTGAGGGTGGTTACGAAAATTATTGAGTGGAATAAGATACTCGACAGGTCAGTACAAAATAATAAGTTAACGGAAAAGCAATCAATAAAAAAATAACCCAAACTTATCATTCATCCTTTTTTATATTTTGCCTCAATGAGGGAAATAGACTGACCATAACTGAACTGTTTAAGATATTCAATTATGTTACACCTTTGTTTAAGGTGACGATCACTTAAACTGTATTGACGGAGATCAGCAGAATGTTGGACAAGTGGGTAATCCGATAAAATAAATAAAACATATTTACCTACTGTGTATCACTATAGTTGGTAATGTGAAAATTACTTATACTGTAGTATATTCTACTTATGTTGACAGATATATAATTGGTATGTAACACAAATCAGAAGCAGAATGCCTAACAGTAGAAGGTTGAGAAGATCGAACTGAAGAGGATAGGAATGTAAACAGTGTAATTGTAACAACAACAAGAATAGAGGAACGATGGAATTTAGAAGAGACAATTAATGGAAAATGTGCAAATGAAGTATTTCATATTTTATGAAGACACTATGTTATTTTTTATTAATCAATAAATTAATAACAGTTCATACTTGTAAAGAACGACAAGGCTAATCATATTTTATTGGCTAACAGAAGAAGTACATAAATAACAGACGTTTAGCTTTGAATTGTTACGAAATGAATAGACGAATTTAAAGCATGGAAATATGCTTAATATTTAATTATGTATCCAGTATATTCTTTTCATGACAATGGATAATAATAAGATTTTTTTTTTCATTGAATAAATACTAACCGAAAAAAACACGATTTACAAATAAACTACCCGATCAATACATTTTTTTTCTCTGAAAACGAAAATCAATGAAAATACAAGATCAGGAAATTGTCAAGGTCATTGCATTTAAAATATCATGCATTGAACGCGTGATTATAATATCCATAGTTATTTGGGAAGAAAAATAGACTAATTACTAGACTATTTGGTTTAAACTACTAAATTAGAAAAATGGATATCCCAAATAAAGTTTATAAGAGGGTAGAAATTCAGGTAAATACAATAGATAAAGTTAAAGATATTTTTAGTTTCATTATATTAGGACAGAAAGAAATTATAAAATTTTCTTTGAATCCTATTAGATAAACAATATTTAACTGGTTATTCGTGTTAGCAACTATTTAGTTAAATATACTTAATGATGTAATCTTTTAATTAATATTGAGTAAGAAATGAAAGAATACTTAATCAGAGTTGATCAAAGATAGAGGCTACAAGGTAACAAAAGGATTTTCTTGAAGTAAATTGACTATTTTACCACTGAAATATCTAACTAGACGGTAAATTATATATGAGAAAGGACCATGCACATAGGATAAATAATCAAAAGTCCAACAAAGATAAAATAATCTTTCATTATTCTATGATTATTAGATGACGATTGTCTAAGATGATCAATTGTGAATATAGTTCATGTTTTTTAAAAAAATGTAATTTAAACAAACTAATAAATAGTTGAATAGTTGAATTCATGAGTCAGTTAAAGCTAGACCACCATAAAAAATGTGAAAGCACTGAAGGGCCATTTCGTCCTAAAATGGAACTCCTCAGCAGTGCGCGTCCACAAAACTCCTTTCTGAGAATAAATAGTTGAAATATAGATAAGATTTATTTGGCAGCAGAGGATATTGGACAAAAAATTAGTTTATAGATCTTTTAGTATATGTTTAACCATCATACTAACTTCCTTTTAATAAAAAACATTACAAACAAATTAAGAAAAACTACTAATCATTTTAGGTGAATATAAATAATCAGCTAAATTATTTAGTCCAGAAGAATCAACTTTCATGCTTTAAAATCAAATTAAAATAAAATCACTCATAATACATAAATTGAAGGTTCATTCAATAATAGCCATTTAATTGAGTAAAATTAGGGATAGAGAAAAAGCATTGTGAATTCAAAACAAAACAAACGAAAACTACATAATACCGACATTTAATAACAATGTTTTCAGTAAACATGTGATATAGCCAAAGGCTGAAAAAAAGAGTAGAAACGAAGTTAGAAAGCTGTAATGCTTTAAGCTAAAATAATTAAATTTTATAGAACTTAGTACAAGGTCATGTAGTATTCATATTTAAATCCTAAATTTATTGTGAAACCCAGCTACTTGAGAGCTGAGTAGCTTAATCCAAATGGATAACGTATAATTCAAAAGTATGATCTAATAATGAAAATCTTATTGCTTTTCAAAGTAAACCAACATCATATCTCTAGTGTAACATTAAGATATGTTTACTTTTGAAAGAAAAATAAAAGAAGACAAAATCCATCTTAGGGTTGTAACAGAGTTTCATAATATGAGGAATAAAATTATCACAGTCACCACAATACATGTGAATTATTAATAAGTGATTTTAATTCCTATGAATTACAAGTTTAAAATGTGATATTAATGATACTAATAACTAAATAAAATAATTCAATGTATTTAAAAACTGAAAATGAAATTGTACATCATACGTATTATTGAGTCATTTAATTAAAATTAGTTATTAACAGTTGCTTATCACGAGGTTGTATGATTTCATTTGTTGAGTTCACTCTCTATTATGAATTATTTTAATAATAAATAATATAAAATGAAGTTTTTAACAACAAGTGAAAACAACATTTATTAATGTTAAAAGTTGGGTGAGGTGAATGAATTACTAGGTGAAATTATTACACATTAAAGCCTCAATTTTGATCAGCCATATATATATATATATATATATATATATATATATATATATATATATATATATAGCAAATGATACATGTTGACTAAAAGCTGGTAGAATGATTCTATGAGACGGACGTCGTCAATATAAAGACTGGAACAGACATACATTGCCTCAAGTTGCCATACCTAATAAAGTGACCAGATGTGAACAACAAATGTGGTGAAATAATGTGGTAGCGATGATTTAAAAAAGACTAAATATTGGGAATATGATTTGAAAAGATAGAGTGGGAGGGATACTGCAATTCAAGATAGAGAAAGAGATGAAGAATGAATGCATGTGGTTTATTGTGAACAATTCTGGGGCATGTCAGTCAAAGTTTACGATCACTGATTATTGTTATCAAGTGAATTCCAACTAGATAATCTGGATTCACTAACAGGACTTAAAAAGCTATTCATTACAAAAGTACACAATAATGAATAAATATTAGGCAGTTGCAAAACTATAGTATTGATTCTTTGAAGTAACATGGCATTCAAATATGATGCTAGCAAGTACTTCTACTAAAAACACTTCATATTATATGAAACGGTTTAATGTGTCCTTTGAATTGATACAAAATAAAGGGGTAGTTTTATCCATAGATTGTAAAACAAAAGCATCATTCTGGTTTACTTAATTAAATTCACCTTGTTGCTTGTATAATTTATACAAGCTATACACAGAAAGCCTAATATAAATAAACAGGAATGCAATGCATTATACATGCTTTTATATGAAATACGATTCTCTTTCATTTATTTAAGTAATAATCTATCTAATTTGAAATATTGAGTAGTTTCTCATTATTTGGAACTAATTGAACCGCTTAGAAGAGGCTATCACTAGTTCAAAAGAAATCACTTAATCTAAAGAGTTAAACGTAGGCAATTCAACTTTAGAAATAAACTCACCTCAACACTAACGACTGATTCAGCCAGGCTTGATGAGTCTTGCTTTCCTCGAGAATCTTCAGTCTTGTGGATAGCTTCTAAGCTACTTGTTGAAATGTTATCACCATGTATAACAGAATTCACAGAGCCACTTAAACTTCTTGTACGTTGTGTTAGACCATGTGATCCACATGTAGGTATAGGATTAGTAGTGTTACTTGTGCAATGATACATATGTCGTCTGGCACGATCATACACTTCCAAAAATGTATATCGAAGATCGAACGCATATTCTTTACCTATTCAATTATGAGATACAAAAGTTTGTAAATTCAATATCAAGAGGTATTGATCAGTCATCAGTATTCTGTCAGTCGGATAAAACTTTTAGAAATGTGTCAACATAAATCAAAACCTATTAGACTAGAAAGATACAAAGTTATTAAGTTTGATAGAGTCACAAGTATACTGAGAATTTCAGCTTTTAACATCATTCAACTATATCATCAGTTAACTTATACTCACTATCAATTGAGGGGTAACGAAAAAATTCTCGATGTATGCAGAAACTACTAAGTAATGCGTAGTTACAATCACAAAAGAGGCTCTCTGATTGTACTCCAATTAACATATAACAGCTATACAGCCACTTTTAGGCCGGTTGGTGCTTTATAACCAATTAAAATTTTATAAATTTTCAATACCCTATGATAATTAAGGAAATTTGATTATAATTCTAGTCAGAGATTTATGATAGTAGTATATACCATAGAATTGAATATAACAAATATTTTTAATGAATTTATTTTAGTAACATATGTTAATAAAGTCATAATTAATAGTTTGAGAATGTACTGCATATGACCATAAAATCTTGACTCGTATTCATGATATCATAAAGATAATTTTGAAGAAAAGCTATTCACTATTATTTTTAGTGAATATTCAACTGCTAACCAATCATGATGAGAATCGTTCTTACATTGACCAGTAACCTCTAATCTGCGTGAGCTGAAATTCCACTCATATTTGTCTAGTTAGATATGTAAAAAAGGAAATTAATTCACAAAGGATTTAAAATAAATTTATTCCGTACAAAAAAACTGAACCATTAACGTCATGTCACTAAGCTCACTTCATTCTATTTCAATCGGTCGATAAAGATGCGAGACTAAGTACAAACGTCTACTGGTCCAAGTTAACACGTTTCATGTCACCACAACAAGAGGAGGAATCGATAAGTTAAGAATTAAAATACGCGAAATTTAATTCTGAACATCACATGTGCAAGTCGAGGAAATAAATTTAAAAATTAAGGATTTAAAGCGGGCAGGTTTCTCAGAATTTAGAAAATGGTTAGGAAATGTTTTTAATATTTCAAACACTGTTTTCCTTATGTAATAAAAATGTAAATATAACTAACCATTATGATCAAACATTGAAGTAAATGATTCTCGCACAGTTTGTTCAATTAAAGATTGTTTAATTGAATCACTTTGAAAAAAGCATGAACTTCAGTAATTGTACGATAAAGGGAATAAGCTAAACGAGTTGATGATAATTGATAATTTTGTCCTTTAACACTGCCATCTTCTTCAAGCAAATTTAAAGTAACAACTCGTGCGCTGTTTGTGATTGTGTGTACTCGACAAAACGGAAAGCTATTTTTTTAAAAGGAGAGAAAGCACAAGCATATTATAGTGCAAATATACAATTCATGACAGTATGAATCGATAGTACGTGCGACAGAATAGCATATCTGATGGTACGTATAACACCTTGATATAACAACTTTCGTATAACTTACTGTTACTTATTTATTCGTAAGTTCAGACACAAACATTGGTACAAATAGGCATCAAAAAAATATATAAGGCCCCCAAATGCACTGGTATGGCCGAGAGTGGGTTTGGCCCGCCCTCCCTCTCGAAATGCTCTCACACGGCCGCGCGTATACAGCCTCTGCCAGGGAAGTCCTACTCACTGCCTCCTCGTGGCGGTGTTGTTTACGAAAATGAGAGGACGAAAAGCGAATGTCCGGCACTTTAATCGGATCCCAAACCAATGGTGCACATGGGTTCCAGTATCCTGAGGGAACGAATGGCGTATGAACCAATCGCTGGTCACCTTGAGCATCCGGATTATAGTCTTACTGTGCGATAATGCCCAAGGCATGCAATCCGCACTTGATCAGTTGGCCATCAGTGTCCGTAGGTACGGTATGTGCTTTGCACCTTCGAAGTGCAAAGTACTTCTACAAGACTGGCAGGATTCCAATCCTGTACTCACCCCGGATGGTGAGCAGATAGACGTAGTCAAGAAGTTCGTGTATCTGGGTAGCTGCATAAGTGATGGTGGTGGCGTGAGTGATGAGATCAATGCACGAATAGTGAAAGCCAGAGCGGCTTATGCCAATCTGGGCCATCTTTGGCGCCTTCGTGATGTTAGTCTGGCTGTAAAAGGTCGGATCTACAACGCGTCGGTGAGAGCAGTTTTGCTCTATGCTTGTGAAACCTGGCCTCCGAGTTGAGGACGTTAGACGACTCTCTGTGTTCGATCATCGCTGTCTCCGAAGGAGTGCTGACATTCAGTGGCAACACCATGTCAGTAATGCAGAGGTCCGGCATCGTGTGTTCGGTCAAAGAGATGATAATTCAATTGGTGTCACCATCTTGAAACACCGACTTCGGTGGCTTGGACATGTTCTCCGAATGTCGTCCCAGAGAATTCCACGTCGTGCATTATTTGCCGACTCTGGGACTGGTTGGAAGAAGCGGAGAGTTGGTCAGTGCATGACATGGTGTCGTGGTATGAAAGAAAGCTGCAAAGGACTGGCTTCTGTTGGTCCTTCACGACTCCCTGGTTGGGGTCTGAGAGATGGTGCTACACAGTGGCTAGAAACGTTATCAGATATGGCTCAGAATAGAAGCCAGTGGCGATCCTGCTGTAACCCTCTTTTACTTCATATAAAGTGGTTGTATATTCCTTAACTGAAAGATTTCTTCTGGTTGTACCTTTCCGTTTCCTCCATTATTACCATTATTACACTATCTTACACTAATCTGTTCGTCATTGTTCTTTTTTTTGCGCTCGTTACCTTCCTTTGTTCTCTTCAAGTTCTCATTGTTTTGTGTGGCGCATATATATTTGGTGCTCCCTTGTACCAATATTTATGTGTTCAAATAAATAAATAAATATAAGCCACATAATAAAAGTGAGATTGTGAAAAGACAGACAAAGGAAGGTGAGTGTAACAAGAAAAATGCAACCAAAATGAACAGTAATTGGTGAATGAGGGTGAAAATAATTATAATAATAATGGGAAGAGTGGTTCAGTTAAGAAAAATGCAATGCAGAAAGGAGTGATTTAATTTGGATAGAGCTTTGTTCTTTGAGCTGGATGGTTTGGTCGTGGAGCTTTCATTGTTCTTCTTAACGACATTATCAGCACAAAATACAAGTTTATGCTGATCATGTTGTTCAGAAGGGCACAGATTGCCGAGTGAATAAGTGCAGGTTGCATGGCTTGAGTATCATGGCACAGTAAGGAAATAACATCCGCATACTCAAGGTCGAAAAGTCTTTCTCCAGGTGGCACATCTACACTACCATTGTCGATTTCCGTCAGAGCTGTTTTCAAAACGTCAACTAATGGTAAGGTTGGACAGGAATGATGAGACTGTGCAACCTGCTTAACCTCATTGCTTGGATAAAAAATAGAGAGAGACGGTTGTATGCCCTCACTCTGACTAAGGTATTTGCATTTATGGCCCTCAAAATGTTAATAAGCTTCTTGAGCACACCCTTCTTCAATAGACAATCCCAGAAGATAGTCCTGTCCAAGGAAGTGAAGGTCACCTTGGTATCAAGAAACACAACGATTGTCGGCCTACATTTATCGAAGAGCGAAGACTATTACATCCTCGATCAGAACGAAAACTAATCTTTCCCAGGTTTTGAACAGTATGCGAAGTTTGATGGTAGCCAATAATTTGGATGCAATCGGGAGTAGACTTATACCCGATAGTTGTTGTTTAGGCTACAAAAATAAAACGAATGGTATTTTGCCTTGTGCTACTCAAACTCACTAGGGCCTTTAGTGACTGGATTGGAGTGATTGCATCAAACAATTGTTTGTGGTTCAATTTATTCCGACCAAAAGCTTAAAATGTTATGTTGTTTATGAACTACTTATTTGGACCAGTAGTATATCTCTTTAGTTCAAGATGGATCCTAATGGATGATTTCATTCTTGTAGCCTCAATAGGATGAATTTTAGCAAATATTCATCTCTAGTATTACCTATGTCGATCAGAGATCAACTAATTTTGAAAAATACTAAATTCTCAATTTGTAAATTATTCACAAAATCTAAAGAACCCATAGGATTTGGAACCCATCGTAAGAAAATTAAAGGTTTCCATAACAATAAGCAAAATTATGGACATAAAAAGGGATATATTTACCTATTTGGAAGGGACGAAACTCAGCCGCACACAGCCTTAGCAAACTGAACGAAATACAGATGAGAAAGGTGTCCAAATAATTAGAACCTATTAAGAGATCCATCCTAAACTATTGGCTAAAAGCGCCACACAAAATAAAACCATACTTTTTACATAACGTTTGCATTTGTATTTTCTACTCAAAACGTGACGGTATAAACGTGTTTTTATGCTTGAGTTTGATACCAATGATTATGCCACCGTTATTCGGTAAATGATTTAGTTTATGGTCTAGAATTTTAACGAACACAACATAAAACCAACTTATTCACTAAACATGCAAATATCTAAACACAAAAGGCTGAAATAACTGAACAAATATTAACATTGAAACATTAAGTCTAGATTATATATAACTATAATATTAGCAATATAAGTAACAATAGTAGTACGCAATTACATCTGTAAGTGCAAATTGTTTGAGGTCAGAATGGACTCAAACAATCGCTTTTAACATAGGGAATATACATGTAAGCAAATGGAAGTGATTAGTAAAATTCAAACCAGAATTTTTCTGAACAGAGCTAGGTAAAATATATGGTCTGACAAATAATTGGTTCAATAATTCACAGTGATATCTCACTTTATTTTTACAAAATAGTAATACGGAACTATTTTACTACAAAATTTATTAAAACCAAGTAAGTTAAAAATAATGTAACAGTTGGAGTCAGAAAAATATTAGTAGTTTGGTAGTCATGCAGTTCTTTAAAATGGCATATTACTATAAACTTGAAAATATTCAAAGGTAGACTCGATAAAAATATTATTAAGAATTTGATTTGATCATAACCAAAGTACTTAATACATATTACGATATACAGGCGCCTTTCAAGATATTCTTGAGTTAATATGGAAACGTAATGATGCGACAAGAACACAATAGCAATAATAATTGAAAAACGCATAGAATATAAAATAAAGTAACACAAGTGACCAATGTGCATAAAATAACAGTGTTTTTATTTCTTAATATCAAGATCGATGTAAAGCACATTGACTTCAACTTGTTTAAGGCCATATCGTTTTATATATATATTCAAATTACCCGGCTCTGTTTGCCCAGTTTTGATTCTCCACAAAGCCTGCAGTAATAAGGAGTTAACGAAAGCGTTACGTAACTTAGCCGCATGATTTTTTTTTATTTACTACCACATTAGGCAGAATATGACACCGAGTTTAGTCCAGTTAACTAGAGTACCTTAAGTTTTTAAAGTGCAACAGCAACCACCAGTATTGACTAAGTTTTATAACCATATGAATTACATATTTGGTATTTTAAAAATAAAAAACCAACAACGTAAACAGTGTGACGAAATTCGTGGAAATAAAACACAATTATCAAGGTTTTTTCTTATATTACATACAAGAAACAAGGCTTGAAAATACGCCTAAACCAAAGTTTATAAACTTAGAATACGTATAAAGATACTAAGAAGACTAGAAGCGTGAGGAAAAATACAAAACTATTAAAGATGGAGGAAACATTTGTCCCAATAATCATAATTTCATCAAACAAAGGTCAGAAGTGTTGCATTTGAGAGGTTTGTTAGAGAATTAATCAAACCCTTAGAAACTTTAAGGGACGATTTTGTTTTACTTTGGCTGCTCCTGAATTTCCACCAATTTAATTCCACGAAAACAACGGTGGGATAGACTGAGGCTACGAATATATTAAAATTTAGAGATTTCAGGTAGTACAAGTTGATAACTTAACTAAAATATCCTCTCCAGCTAAGACCTTGTATTTAGCCCGAAATTTGATGAATCACTATATATACTTTATGAACATAAAATATCTGAGGAGCTGTTGATGGGTAACTGAGATCTAAGCATTTTATTCGATAGTAACAATTCAGTTTGACAGTCAGAAATCAACACAAAACATTCTATGTTAGATACTTATACTGGAAGGAAATTAGATGTCAGTGGACTTATTAATGATATTGGTTACCAGATATTAACTGAGGCTTTATCTAAACCCAAAATACAAGGGACAGTTTAGATCCAGTTAGTAAGGTGTTGACAAACAAAATCATGTTGTTTCTTACTCCAGTTCTCAGTATTATGTACTAAGATGAAATGAAGATCCTAAATACTCTTGGATATCCTAATGGATTCAGATGACCCAAAAATTAGTCAACTATAAATATTCATTTGTTAGAAAACGTTCCCAGTTAATGTAAGCAAGTGAGGTGGGGTAACATCTTAATGTTTTTCTTTAAATAAAACATATACCTCCGATAAATTTCAAATAGTTATCATCATGAACCAAAACGCATTTAACAACCTGCGTTGAACAGAACTTCTATATTATTTTAACGGGTTCACCAACTTCATTGATAAAAGAAAGAATAGTTAATTTCCAAACGATTACAAAAATCTTGCATTAAATTGCTTACAATTGTTCGATTGACTAATTTTAATTAAAATGATATATCAGATTAAGCGCGAAATGAAATGATGGAATATTTAACCTCGAAGGATGAAAAGTGGAATTGTCATTCTAACTGAAGAAACAAAATGTATTTATCAAAAAACATAGAGAAGTAGAATTATGATTTGTTCAACACCGTCTCTAAGTATTTATTTTAAGCACAGATTGTTGCACAAAAAACCTAAGAGACTTGGTAGTTCGTTTCATTTAAAAGCAGAAATCAGCTAACTAAGACGTTTTAGTTTGTTCACAACTATTTTAAATCCACTTAATATAAAGTCAAGTAATGAATGGCAAATAATGTGAAGACTAAAATTTCAAATACACAGACATTTTGTCAAGGGATTTTTGCTCAGTTTAGACTTCAAGTGACTGAGCAAAGTAACTTTAATTCCATGTTTATTTGGACACGAACTACACTTCTTCACACATGAAAACTTAGATAATAACGTGTTTTTATTATTGCACGCACACGTAGACGATATAACGAACAAACGTTAATGATAAATAAATGAAATTCTAATAACATAATGTAATGCTTATGAATTGATGACCAAAAATAAATAGGAAATAACGGTAGTGGTTATTCAAATAGACGTCCTAGAGAAAGTAAGTACTTGGCAGAATCCTAGGTGGAAGGTTACGCGGTTTTAAATAAAATTTCGAAATAACATATTAAGTATACGAACGGTTGAGCTTAGCTCAAAGAGTTCCAAAGAACGCCATTATCGAGAACATATATATGACAGTTTTAGAAAGTGTACTGAATTTCATTTTTGCATTAGTGTTATTACTTTAAGTACGGATAAACAATAAATACACATTATTAAGGGGATGTTTACCGATCGATAACGCCTCCAGTAGAGTTGCACAAAACAATATCACTAGGACCAACACCAAGCAATAACTTGCGATCAAATATATTCTTCACATCATAGAAATATGTTCCATATGAGGGAAATTCTCGTGAAACTATAGACAAAAGTTCATATTTTGCGTGGGAAGTGGTAATATCTTTTAAGTCTTTATGAAAAGCAGCAGCCATACGAATAGCTTCTGGTGGAATTTCGTTGCGACATTCGGGCCAAAAGCAAGCATACTTGCATGGAGTGGTGTTTGGGTTGTAATTTCCAAACTGTATGTATGCCATGAGGGCAATTAATTGTGACTGTGTTTCCAGGGTGGTGTCAGCGTCCCAAGATCCGTTTTTTAGATGATATACGACGTTTGTGTAAAACTGATGTCTGTAAAAGTACGGTTTCAGTCTATTATTTGAAATTACCTGGTTTCCTCGAGTTGAAGTGTAGATGGTTGAACAAAATACTTCACTCTAAAATATAGATGGTATGGAGGAGACCCTGGAATTTGCCTTGATAACCTGTTTCTGCTGTTAAGCCAAAACAATTCGTTTCTCGATCCTGCTAACAGGATACCAAAATAACTAGCTTCTTCAGTAATCCCTATCAATTTACATATCTTAGAAATAACTTTGAGGAAACATCGAAACATACTTTATCTATGACTTCCTGACATTCTGCTTTATGATCGACTTCAACCTGATAAACCTGACTACTTGCAAGCGTAACGTAACACATAAGAGTAGTTGAATTTCTTCCAGAATCGCCACCATTTCGACTTGGATGACGCTTGTTATTGTAAAGCTCGTGCAAATTCTGGAGCGCCATTGGTACTGGTTGGCATGTAGTACCAAGTGTTTTTCAGTAACAACTTCGTAGAAACGCGGTTTAATAACTTAGAAAGCATAGAAATATCGCATGAAGTTGGACAAAATTTAAAAACAGCTACTCAAAAAGACCAACTAACTGATGTACTTAAACACAATCACATGACATTGTCTTGTCGATTTAATGCATGCATTGCTGCGATTTGAAAAGATAGATGATTCTCAATTCTAATTAACTTCGGGAAACTGGTTTTAGTTGTATGAATGTGCAATATGTTTCCAAAGTAATTAGGATGGTAATTCATCAAGTTTAAACCTAATCTTCAACGTTTTGATTGATACTATCGACTGAAGAGGATCACTCAATCGTCCAAGTAACCTTGTAAAGCAAGTCGTCTGAGATAATTACGCTCTGTGGTGTAGTTAGCTCGGACGTTTTACATCATTATATGTGCGTAAAAAGAACTACCTTAATAAAGTATTATCAGGCACTTCCTCGTTTGTATTTTTGTTTTTACAACTGAAGCATCTAATATCGAGTGTTTTCGCGCTAAAAAGTTTGAGAACCTATTAGTTCAGTATTTAAAACTGAAATATTTGGCCTGAGTGATGGGTCTGCCTAAAGATTATAAATAGCTTCAGGGTTCGACAACACTTTTGTCTGTAACACGATCATATTTGAAGTATATCATACCAATGAAGTCAGAAGTGATAAACGAATGTGTTTGAAGATATATTTGGAAGTTTGCCGGTATGATAGGGTGTGTTTTATCTATTGTGGTTAGTACTTGCAAGGTAAGTGTATCACGGCGTACCTAATCATGACATGGTGCGGATGCATGACCGAGAACCTTCATTCATGGTATGAAGATGCCACAGGTATTTGTAGTTTGAAAACACTTTCAACAGTAACATCTATAATTGAATCTTTCCCGCCCATTGAGGTCAAAAGTCAGAAGCGACGAGGTTAGAAAATATATTCTATAGGTTATCAATATATCGAGAAGGGACTGATCTAAACTGGTTAGCGGTTGACGGTAAAGTTAAGCACGGAGTTCCCACTCGTGATCTGGTGTGGATGCGTGACTGGGTGCCTTCAGCTGATGTGGTCAGCATGAAATGTCGAATACTTACAGAGCTATTTATTTTGGGGATTTATTTGCCGCTACAGATCACCCCTTTAGTGGGCAGTCACAACCATAAGACATGGCCATCCAGAAGTTTGAACCCAACGAGTTGTTGGTGGTGAACATTCTCCTGATAGCTTGCTATGCTCAGCAACATCTGGTTATCTTTCTATACTATAAAAGTTCTGTTACAATATAGTAATGAGGAAACGGATACAGTGAAAATTTTGGTTCATCGTAAACTTAGTCTTTTTCTCCGTCTTTTCCAGACGTCTTGGAAAGAAGATAGGGTATGTATGTGTACGTCGAATTACACTCGTACGTGCCTATATACACAAAACGGACAAAAAAGGAAACTATGCGCACACATATGCGTTTCGTAAATATGCAGTAGCGTATAAACGGATTATGCAGAATACTTTTTGGTTTTTTTTTGAAGGAATACAAATAAACATATATAAGCGAGCATATTAGAAAAAATGATTTTTTTGGAATAAATGTATATATATAATCATATTAACATTATACTGTTTGTTTTCGTTTTTTAACAATACAGCGAAAAACCGATGTGAGACAAAATATTATTCTTACGCGCAGTATTCGTTTAGGAGTTCTGGAAAACTTACTCTTCTTCTTGGACACGTTGTTTTGAGTCTGTTTTTGCATATCGTCGAAGTACCATCGTGACGGTCGAGAGGTCGTTGAATTGAGTCGCGCTGTAAATAGACGTGTACAGATTAAAGAGAAACGTCAGTTGATTGCGATCAAGAGAAAACGAGTTCAGCTGAACGCATTGTGTTTGTAAGCCTACTTGCGTGAGCACCAAGAATCCACTTTCACTTCATTGCCTATACCAAGTAAAACGAGTGAAAGAGCGTCATTCCACTGTAGAACTTTTGCAGCTGTTGGAGAAGCTTTAAGCTGTCGGTGAGAGCGATCTACTAACCCGTTTGCTTGTAGGTGGTAGGCAGTTTTTCGGAATCGTGTGATTCATAATAGTGTAGTCAAACAACGGAAAAGTCCAGATTCAAACTGATGTTCATGGTCTGTAGTGATTGTTAGAGGGCAGTCACACTTTGATATCCACCGTTTGACGAACTGCAGCCCACTTTTTCAGCAGTGATGCCCTTGAAGTGCACTGTTTCCGGAAATTGTGTGAAACGGTCTACACCAGTTAAGAGATGGGAGTATCCATTCGAATCTGGTGAAGGTCCTACTCAATCTAAATAAATATGGTCGAAAAGACCATCAAGGAATTTGAAGGAATTCGAGGGATATTTCCGAAGTCTAATCACCCAAAATTTCTGGCAGCTTACACACCACTCCTTAATGTCTTTATTCATGCCAGGCCAGCAAAATGGTTCTGCTATGAGCTTGATGGCTATACGATCACCTCAATGAGAACGTTTTTGCGACGATTTGATGACGTTGCGTCCATGATTTTTCGTCACGATTGGACGATCCCTACCTGTAGATGTGTCGCATAATACGATTTCCTTACCCGTCGCCATCTGTTTAATACGCAGTCTAAGGGTTGGTGAATATAACTCATGCTGAAGATTGATGTCTTCTTGTTGAAGCCGAGTGAGCTCAAGGAGATCAATTCCTTGGAAAATGTTCGTGGAAATTATACGAGACAAGGCGTCTGCAACTACATTGCCTGCTCCAAAATTGTGTTGTATATATAAAGCAAACTGCGAAATGTGGCCCAGTTGTCGAGACTCTCGAAGGTAGTACTTGTTTGATGACGAGCTCCAGAAGAAGGTAAGAGGTATATGATCAGCGAAAAGAGTGAATTCTCGGCTTCCTATAGAGTGTTGAAAATGGCGTACAGCACAATACATAACTAGGCTTTCCCTGCCGAAAGTGCTACACCTCGATTCGGTGTCTAGCAACCGTCTCGAGAAGAATGTCGAAGGTTGCCAGGAGTGGTTAACTCACTGTTGTAAAACTCCTCTGATTGCCGTTTCCGATGCGTATACTGTGATATTAATGGGTGCTTAAGTGTCCCGATGTGCAATCAAGGTTGGTTTTGCGATAAGTTCCTTAATTGTGGAGAATGGTTTTCTCACGGTATCGTCCAAACTGATGGATTTCTCATTTCCACGAAGTTTTTCAGTTAGAGGTTTTATAAGGAATGCACATTTTAGTATGAGCTTTCTATAGAAACTCACAAGACCGTTAAACGTGCGTAATTGTTTGATTGTGGTCAGTTCCGAGTAGTCCAGAATGGCCGAAAATTTGCTTTTCAGAGGACGGATGCCTTCATCGTCAATAGTGTGCCCTAGGAAATCTAAGCCGTCAGTTCCAGTTTGGCATTTCTGAATGTTTACAGTAGTGCCGTGTTCTGTAGTTATTCTAGGACAAGGTTCAGTTGCTGGAGATGAGATTCTCTATCTGGATTTGCGATCAACCTGTCATCAACGTACGCATATGTGAGGTTGAGACCTCGAAAAATGTAGTCTATGGACCTTTGGAGAGTTCTAGCAGCCTTTCTTAATCCGAAAGGCATTCGCAAAATTCGTAGAGTCCTCAGGGAGTAATATTAGCGGTTTCAGGAATGTCGTCAGCAGCCAAAGGAACTTGATCATATGCTTCAATCAAGTCGATATTCAAACAAACAGTTCTACCTTTCAAGTTATCAATCAACTCGTGAATATGAGGCAACGGGTATCGATCAGGAATGGTTTCCGCATTCAATCTCCGAGAGTCACCAGTTTGTCACCGGTCGTAGCTGTCTTCTTCAGGGACCAGATGCAAAGGAGATGCCCATAAGCAGTTTGATGGCCGAACGATTCCTAAATCTATCATGTGATCGAAATCGATCTTAGTCAAACTCAGCTTTTCTGGAGCTGGTCTTCACGCTTTCGAGAATACAGATGGTCCTGAGGTTGTGATGTCATGTTCAACACTGCTGGTTACACGTGGTAATTTCGGTTTCGTTTGGTATATTACAAGGTACCTACGAGTATTTGTTGGTAGTATGGATGGATCGCGTGCCTTACTATGACGTGATAACCTACAACCGGGAAAAGAAGTTACACAAACACATAAATTAGTAATTCCGTCTACTAACCTCCGTTTGCGCGTGTCGACAAGTTATGTTGTTGTAGCATGTATATATCAATGATTGGCGTAGAAACATCTGCAACAACGAAGATCCGGTGGATGAGTTTGTGTAAACCAACGTAAAGATATACATATCGCCAACTGTATGTGGCGATTGGTTCCCCATTTCGCGCCTGTGAGTTCAAAACTGCTTCAAGCAGTCGGCCGTTAGAATTCGCTAGAAGAACGTTAACGTCTGTGTCGGCGTCGATGAGGTAGCGAACTTTCGGAGTCACATCAGTAGAGTATAACAGACGGATATGTTTTCCAGCTACGGTTGCCGTTAACGCGTTGTGGCTGGGAAGTTTCCCGAAACGTTTTTCATGTCGGTCGGTTTGGAATTCAAAATGCTGCAAAGTTTTCTGAGATTTCGAGATTTTTTGTACTGATTATGATTCGAGCACCAATCTGGGTTATCTGCTTCTCGTGATCTAGAGATAGATCGTTTTCGTGAAGAACTCCTTCGAGGGGTTTGTGATCGTTTACTGTCATGACGAATACGAAGGTAACATGTCAGAATGTGACAAGGTTCAGCAACGTCATTTCGTGTTGTTTAAGGTTTTTCCTTGACTAAAAATAATCGGCGTTAGACGTTCTGCTAATCTCCACAGTTCGGTCGACAGATGCAGCCAACTTGTCCACAGGGTTGGTTTGAGACGAGACAAGCAGTGCCTACGCCTGTTTAGGAAGCTTAGACGAGAACTGTTGTCTGAACAAGCCATCGTCAAAAGTCCCTAGACCAACTACCCCTCTCATTCGTAACACC